GAAATAAATAATATAATAGAAAAAATAGAAAAAGAAGAAAAAGAAAAAAAGATAAAAGAAGAAATTATTAAGAAAGAGAAAGAATATAATGAAAAGACCAAAAAGATTCAAAAAAATATAGAAGAAATTAAAAAAGAAGAAGAAAAAATTAAAACACTTCAAGAAGAAATTAACAAAAGAGAAAAAGAAAAAGAAGAGAAAGAAAATCAAATCACAAGATATAATGCACTTAAACAATCATGTGTTGTTTGGAGAACAAATCTTCAAATTGTTAAAGAAGGAATAGAAAACATTAAAAAGAAAGAAGAAGAAATTGAAAAAATAAATAAAGAAAAAAAAGAAAAAAAAGAAGAAATTAAAAAGAAAGAAGAAAAATATAAAGAATTAGAAAATAAAACAAAAAAAGAAGAAAAAGAACAAAAAATAAAAGAACAAGAAATTATTAAATTAAAAGAAAAAGTTGATAAAGAAATTAAACAATTTGAAAATGATAGTTCTCAATTACATTTAATTTATGAAGATATTAACAATAAAGTAGAAATAACAAAAAATAATAAAAATATTATTATTAAATTAATTAAAGATTTAGAAAAAAGAATTAATAATATTAAAAGTTCACATTTTTATATGGTTAGAGAACTTCATGATCAACTTATTCAACTTAAATCAATTATTTCATCACTTGATATTTTAATTATTTAAAAATTTAATTTAATTATTTAATATAAATTAATGTTATTTATTATAAAAAAAAATAAATTTATTATTACTAAGAAAAAATAATGGAAATTAAAATAAATTGTTTACAACTAAATCAATTAAATAATATTCATAATAAAGAAATTATTAATCTTTCTATTATCAATAATATAACAAAAGTTGAAATGTATAATTGTGATATTATTGATAATATAGAAATGAAAGATGGAATTGTTGTTTATGTTATTAAACAAGGAAATGAAAGTGAATGGTTTTTTTCAACACGAAAAGGAAAATTTGAAGTATCAGAAGAATTAGGATATAAAAGAACAATTTTAGTTTCTATAGATTATCATCGTAGAGTTAATGATATAAAAGAAATTTATCAAGAAATTAAAGAAATAGGAAATATGTTAAGATATGTAGAATATAAAGGAGATATTAAAATAATGATAGATGAAACAGGAATAGGTAAAAGAGAAATATTATTTGAAGGAAAAAGTAAAATTAATGGAATAATTTGGGTTGAAGAAACATTAAAAGAAGAAAATAAAGGAAAATATTCAAGAAAACTTATGTTTGAAGGAGAAAGAAGTTTAGTTCAATCAGAAGAATTGTTATTAATAAAGAAATTGATATTGTAGAAAGTATTAAAGAAGTACAGTATTTTAAAGGAATTGTTTATGGATAATTAATGAAATTGGAGAAATAATAAAGATATTATATTCTTTGGGTGGAGGTGTTCATATTTTAGCAAGTGGATTAAACATTGGTGTAAA